CATCGCGTTTCAGTCTGAAGACGGCTCGAAGACACGAAAAATCGCCTGAAGTTCTTTTTTTTTAATAAGATCATTGCATTCGTCCTAGGTGACTGACCAGATTTCCTTGTCCTGTCGCACACCGTTGGCTCGTATCTGGCTATATAGAGCTCAGGCAGTTTCACGTCGGGATTTTTATCGATGGCATCGTTTTTACGCGAAAACCACTCGAAACGAACAGTCTCCAAAGGATACGCAACTGGAATAAACTTAAGATTATGCATAGAATGCGTTGGAATGATTTGAATTCAGGATTATCATGCACATTTACTTATACGTACATATTCGTTCGCTTCCTCACACGGGCGTTGTTAGTGAGTACGTTTAACTTACAGTTCACGATTGATACAAAACAAATACATGAAATTGATTTGATCTCTTACGATTAAAAAAATGATCCGTTACAATTTTTTCGATAATGATTATGATCCGTTACAATTTTTTCGATAATGATTCTATTGTGCCGATAAGTTGATTCAAGAGATACTGAGCCGTGTACGTGAGTTCAAATGCTCAAAAATACCTTCTTGATCCATCATATGCTTTAGACTTATCAGCACAATAGAATTTGCTTCTTATACCCTTTTGCAGTCTTGTCATAGCCATAAGAATAAGATTACACAAAATGTCAAGATTACACGGCTTTAGTTTCGATCACAATAAATTCTTCAGTTCATCCGGTATTCATTGAACAAAAATTGGCTATTTTGATCAAACTATCGTTGATCGATCACTAAATCACTAACACATTCATCATGGAATGTCTCTAAAAATGACTTACAAGATTTGATACGCAGATCACAGGTTTGCTTATCATGCGGATACTTGCACAGCACCAAATTACATGCTGGTTTCAGCTTAATCCTGAAATGAGAACATTTTTCAATGAAGCAAATGAAACTGTTAAAATCCTCGCCGCAATTGCCGCAAAATTCTACGCTGCCGAGTTGAACTCAAACGCAATGAAACGCCATGACTAAAAAGTGATGTTCTATACCATTATTTTGAAAACTGTTCTTTCTGTTCCATTTTGGACTCAAAAATGGCTCTATTCTGGTCCAAACTGTTCCTTCCTCATTTGCGAATTTATTTGTTCTATACTATGGAACAGAACAGGAATAGAACAGTTTAACTGGAATAGTTTCACTAGCCATGACCAAATGAATATATTTCACACAAACCTTGTCTCATATAACACCAGACC